TACAGTACCCCAGCCCGGCTAAGTGCTGGAGCCTGTGGCAAGGCCATGGCAGCTCCAGGCTTGGCAGTCGGGAGGATGGGCAGGCCTCAGAGTAAGGGACTGGGAACCATGCACCATCCCACACAGCCACACAAATGGGCAAGGGCAAACCCAGACTCACACAAACGGATACAATGTTTGCCAGGGCGATGAAGTTTCCCAGGTAGTCAAAGTAGTAGTGGCCAAAGAGAAACTGGGCACTCTGCAGAAACGGAGACTGGTACTCAGGCCTTGGCGGGTGCTGCAGAGGAAACGCACACTCAGAACACGTCCCAGCAGATGGCCGTGGCTATCAGCCTAAAAAATGTCTTAGACCCCCTTATTCTGAGATACAGCTTTTTTCCGCCTTATCTTCTATGCCAGTCTATCCAGCTTGAGATATGTGCACACACGTGTCTATAACTGCACGCGGAAAAGAAGGAGATACGTACACACACGTGTCTATAACTGCACGCGGAAAAGTCTGAAAACGCCAAAATATCAAATTGAATAGCTCAATTGCATTCTGAAGCAGGACCCAAGCCGCTTGTGCGACTATCAGTTTAGTACATCTCGGCTCCTAATCTGCACTTCAGCGCCCGCTCGACCATATGGCAGAGGTCCTGGCAGTATCCCAGTCTACAGTGAACGCACGGCAAAGCCTTCCCAGCAGAGGGTGCCACAGGGACCTGGCAGGAGGGCAAGGTTCTCCTGCAGTTTCCACTACCTGGTGGGCAAGGGGTGTGAGCGAGCATGCAGTGCCATTCTATCCCAGATGCCCAGATGGTCCCCGGGTGACCTATACAGCCGTGGCCTGACCTGCCAATAACTTTCCCAACTTCCTAGTCCTCCACACAGAAACCAGGCCCAAAGGTCACTTGCCCACACTGGTACCCAAACCCCTCTGCCTACCCATACCACTGCCTGCTGCCAGCCTGGGGCCTGCTGCACCCCAGGGTACTTCCTGCTTGCCTGGTAACCGTAGACCAACTATAACCCCATCTGTTTCTAGGTAGGGGGACAGTGAAGTAAGTTTTCCCACTTTTTTCTATAGTCTATAAAATATGACTACTCAATTTTTAACCCAAAAAGCCTTTCACAAAAAGAACAGACTTCTTGAACCTAGCAAAAAGCCAGAAGGTAGGAAGTAACATATAATCCATCAAATGACCAGAAACCACCACCACAAAGGCACAAGAAATACAGGAAATAAAGAAAATATCTCTCCCCCAAGGGGAAAGTACAGCCCCTTCATCATCCACAGACAGCACAATGGAACACATGGAAATGTCAGATAAGGAATTTAGGATATTCATAGTGGCAAAGGTAACAAACAGAGATGCAAGAGAAGAGAGACAACAAACTCTAGAAAATGCAGGAGAATAGAGACAACTTCCAGGAGATGAGGAAGTTCTCCCACAATCTGAAAGAGGAAATACACACCATAAAAAATAATCAAACAGAACTGTTTGAGATGAAGGCTATAATACAGGAAATCAAAACCTTCCTTGAAAGTATTAAAAGCAGATTAGATCATGCAGAAGATCGAATCTCAGATGTAGAAGACAGAACCTCTGACCTAGGGGCCAGCAGTTGGCATTAGTGGCTATGTCGCTGGACTCCCATGTAGTTGATCACAGTTTGAGACCGAGACCTGGTGGCTTAAACTCACGCCAGGCGCATGTGCGTGCATGCCCAAGATCCCAAGAGGAGAATAGAGAAGGGATTGCAGCATGGCCATCCCCTCAAGGTGTGATTTCTCGCTTTCTGTCTCTCTGTCTCTCTTTTTCTGGCACGCACACGCGTCCTACAGCAAAAACCTCTCAAAAAAAATAAATAAAAATAAAATAAACCTAGAACTTCCAAAAAAAAGAGAATAATATACAAGTAATATTAGATACCACTAGACACCCAAACATCCAGATAATCGGTATCCCAAAAGGTAAAGAAACTAATTAGGGCATTGATAATCTACTCCATGAAATCCTGAAAGAAAACCTTCCAAACCTAGAGAGGCATTCAAATATCCAGACCCAAGATATACAAAGGACCCCACATCAAATCAACAACCCAAGAAGACCTTCTCCATGGCACATAGCCACATTGACCAAAACCACAGACAGAGGTAAGATACTAAACTGGCAAGAGAAAAACATCAAGTTACTTTCAAAGGATATCTCATCAGGCTCATATCGGACCTCTCGTTGGAAACAATGCAAGCAAGGAAAAAATGGGAAAATATATTCAAAGTGTTAAGTGAAAAGCAATTTCAACCAAAAATACTATACCCAGCAAGATTATCCTTCATGTGGGAAGAAAAGAAAAGAAAACACTCTCAGATAAACAAAACCTGAAAGAATTTACCAACACCAGACCAGCTCTTGGAGAAGTTCTGAAGGGAGTAAGTACTATTATCAGGAAAATGAAAAACAAAACAAACAAGAGAACAAAAAAAGACCAAGAGAAAGGCCAACTTAATGGTAGTGACAAGTTCTGAAATATCAATAGTAATGTTGAATGTCAATGGAAAGGTCGGACCACAGTAACACTGCAAATTCAACAAAAGTGAGATTATACGGGACTGAACTGGTGAAATAGAATTCTATAACTTTTTTCTAAAACATTACTGATTTTTTTCTATGCTTTGTCTTCCAGATTTAAGGATTTTTGTCTTCTTTTGAGTTGTTGGGTTCAGCTATTTGTTAGAAAAAGAATTTTTTTAATTGAAACATAAACGTTTCTCCCTTCCTGACTCCTCTATAATTGGAAAATATTTGTGAGCATTCTTATTTTGTGGCAGAATGGTTATTTGCATAAGTTCAACAATACAATAGTATCTGCTGCCTTGCATAAAAAATTGAATTATTATGGGGCTTTGTGCAAATAATAGGCCAAACTGAGATTAATCTTTTTTTTTTTTTTTTTTTTTGCAAATAAGTTAGTTTATACCTCTCTTTAGTAAAAGGGGGAATGGAGAGAGAAAAAAATGTTTTAGGAAAAAATTACAGTGCACTTGAAACTAGATTCTAGCTTTGTCCACACTTTAAGATCTTTTGTCAATCAATAAAATGTGAAAAAATAAAGTTTAGTATGCAAGAGAGGGAGGAGAAAGAGGATGGAAAAAAATGGGTAGAAGTTTGCTAAATTGGCAAAAATGAGAAGTTATTTGCTGATGATAATGTAGATAGTAATATCTTTGTCTTGACTAACACGCATGATATTTGTGTTGGAAAAAGAAATGTATACTGTAAAGATGTGACAAAATGTAAATTAAAATTAATTATTTGTTTAAAAAAGGGAATAGACTTCTTGCAGAAGCTGACAGGGTGTCTTCTCTGCAGCTTGAACAGCTACCTGACCAAGGCCAGGATGATGGACAGTGACCACATGTGGGAGGCTCTCTGGAAGGCTAGACATCCCATGACATCAGCCTGCCCCAAACATTAATGATCTTTGAAGCATCTGCATTTCAGAAATGAAATACTCCCTTGCCCCACATTTGGTATTTTGGGAGAAGGTGGTATTATAAAACCAAGGCAAGGACATCACAGCTCCCCAAACCTTTGGGATCCAAACTCCCATCTCAAACCCCAGCTCCGGACTTTAGCCCCAGGGCATGTGGGAAGAGAGAACATCCAGCAAGCCGCAGAGAAGACAGATAGGAGAGGCGTGGCAGAGCAGGGATGGCCTGCACAAGGGGCCTCCCTGACCCAGCATACCTGGCATGACTAGCTCCAAAGAGCCACGACCAAGATTAGCTACCTGTCCTTCCTCAGCAGTACTATAGGAGGAGGCACCTCCTTTCAGACATCATCAAGATCTGACGCTGGGAGAGGGTGATTGATGTTCGACTTTGGATGACCAGGATCCAAAGCTCCCTGCAGGTCAGTACACAACGGCCCAGGGAGAGGCAGACAGCCCAGAGGAACCCTGAGCAGCAAGACTGTCTTCCCAGAGTCCTTGAGGATGACCAACTTCTTGCCCTGGTCTGCCTACACCTGGAAAAGCCAAAACATAGACCTAGCCTCTGATGGCTGAGCTAAGAGGTAAGAATGTCCAGCCCCAGGATATTATCTAACATAAAATCTGTACCCAACAGTGCTTCCCAACTTTCTGATGTCTAAGGACCATCTCCAGTTTCTACAAAACCTGCACCAGATAACATTTCCTAAATATATTTTCCAAGTCAACTTTTAGTTGGCATTTCATGGCCCAGCCTTATTCCAAGACAAGTTTGATGGCATGAACATATGAAGTGTCACCTGCTGATGTGTCACTGCAATTGCCTCCCATGCCCCAGGGGTATGTGCCACATCTGAGAAACACTGCTCCAGAAGGGAGCCCCAAATAATGGCATAATGGCTACATCACTGGACTCCCATGGAGTCGACCACGGTTTGAGTCCCGGACCAGGTGGCTTAAACTCACACCAGGCATGTATGCATGTGTGCCCAAGATCCCAAGAGGAGAGTGGAGGAGAAGGGACTGAGGCATGGCCATCCTCCCTGGGGGGTGATTTCTCGCTTTCTATCTCTCTGCCTCCCTCTGTCTTTCTGGCGAGCGCATGCCCTATAGCAAAAACTTCTCAAAAAAAGAAAAAGAAACCCACTTTTGATAGGAACTTGAGGCCACAGAAGCGGACAGTGGATCCTGGAGCAGCTGACAGTTGTTATGGGCTCAATTACATTCCTCCAAAATCCACATAGATTGAAGTCCTCAAAATGTGACTGCATTAGGAGAGAGGGCCTTCTTAAAGAGGTTCTTAAGTTATAATGAGGCCATTAGCGTGGCCAATGTGTGTCCTTCTAAGAAGAGATGAACACACACACACACACACACAGGATGACCTTGTAAGGTAAGGACACAGGGAGAAGATGCCATCTACAGGCTAAGGGGAGAGGCCTCAGAAGGAACCACCTGCAGACACCCTGGACTTCCAGGCTCTAGGAGTAGGAGGCTGCAGGTATCTTGGTTTTAGCTGCCCTGCTTGTGCTGTGCTGTGACCAACCAAGCAAATACCAGAGTGACACAGTTGGCAGATGTCTGACTCCAACTCTGCTCCCAGCCCAGTTCCAGGATCCTGCATGGTCCTCTCAAGGTTGAGCAGCTGGGACAGCAGCCCTTTGCTGCCCCCACAAACTGCCTGGTAATACACTTTAGCTGTTTCCCAGCATCCCACCTCCCAGAAACCTGCTCCATAAACTGGCTCCAGGCTCTTAAACATACTTTACTGAACTGGACACCAAGACCCTTCCAGTGACTTTGCAAATAAGCATCAAGGACAAGAGACAAGGGGACCAGCATCTGGGCCTCCAAGGAAGAACAGACAGAAAAAGAATAGTATGTCATGGAAACAGAGAAATCCATTGGAAAGGCTCTGTGCCAGGCTCGGCCCAAGCCAGTTCGTGAGCCATTCCTAAGTTTGGTGAATTTCATGAAGTCAACAAAATCTCTCGTTTCCAATAACCAAATGGATCTCCATTCCCATTTCCCACCCTAGGAGCCAGATCCCTAGGTAGGTGAGTCTTGGGACTGGTCATGGTAACAGTTCCCCAGGTGATCAATGAAGGGCCCGTTAACCCTTGGTGGCCCCAGATCCAGCTAGGTGTCCCAGGCTCACTCCAGTTACCTCTTTGATCACACTTTTGTCAACCTCATTGAAGAGTTTCTGAAACTCATCAGCTGGCAGCAGGGCACCGTGGTAGGAGCGTACTCTCTGCAGAGGAGGGAAGCACAGGTCAGCCAGGCCAACGAGAAGAAAGGCCCAGAGAAGCTAAGCCTCCCCAGTCGCACCCACTGGGGCTGAGCATGCAGAAACTACACCAGGTCCTGAAAAGTGCCTCTAGCCAAGATGATCTCCCGGCAGGAGTCCAGAAGCAAACTGGGGCAGGCAGAGGGGAAGCAGCTACCTCCATGATGGCCTGTTTGTGGGAACCATCCAGCTGAACTTTATGAAGCACCTTCAAGAAATTCTGGGGCTTCACCCCAACCCTGCAGGGGGAAGAACCCATGCATCAATGAGTACAGCCAGTTCAGACCCTCTTAGCACCCAGCCTGGACTCTCCAGCCCTGGCTTCTGGCCTGAGCTTTGTCATGAATGCAGTCTACAGCCCTGAGCAAAATGAGAGCCTCTAAGGAGCATGTGCCATGGACCAGCTCTGCAGGCACTTATGGTCACCCAGTGTCTGAAATCCCGAGGGAGATACTGCTGTCATCTTTAGAGAGTGGCAAATGCCACCCAGGCATTCAGCTCAAAATCTTCCATCGCCACATCCCTTAACCCTCAGCACTCATTACAAACAGGACAGCAGAGCGGGAGCTGCCCAGGCACCAATGAGTCCCACACCTACAAGAGTTGGCTCAGATGCAAGCACTTCAGGACCTAAGAGCTCCAGGACAAGGTGGTATTTATGATTCCAAATAGAGCATTAAGTCTGGTGCCAGCCAGCAGGGAGCACAGCCCAGCCGGTACTTGGGAGTGCACTCAGCCCCACCCTACACCCCCACAGAGCAAGAGCAGCAATAGCCCCCACCTCCTCAGGGAGAAGAGGGCCCATCCCAGCACTCACGCCTGAGGGGAAGCTTCTCCCTCCTTCGTCATGGAGGAGAGGACCTCATAGGCAGCCCGGGTCCCCAGTCTCCTCCTTAACAGCGAAGTCTGGAGAGATTTCTGCAGAGAGGATGGCATTGAGGGGCCCTGCCCAGTCCTCTCCTGGGCACAAGTACTCCCATCCCTTCCTCCCTCCCCAAGGGAGTGGGCAAAGGCAGGGTGAGGAGGGGTGCCTGGGCAGCCTCAAAGCCCGCCCACCTGAAAAGTGCCTGGGAGCAGTCCCATATCTCCCAGGCATCAGAGGACTGTCACAGACTCTAGGGAACGGTCTTCAGAGGAAAGAGCCAACCAAGGCCCAGCTGGCTCAGAGCCTAGCAGCAGCTTACTGTTAACTCACTAAAGGACTGGTTTCTTCTCTGGTATTTGAGGTCCTCAGCTCCTCCACAAGGAGATTTAGGGTTAGTTACCCTGGGAGCTGCCCTCTCTGGCTATTTCCTCTAAGAGGGTAGGAGGTAGGGAAGGGAACCTTTGGTGGCTAAGGCAGTGACACACGGTATATTCTTTTTTTTGGAGAGGTTTTTGCTATAGGGTGCGTGTGCACGCCAGAAAGACAGAGAGAGACAGAGAGACAGAAAGTGAGAAATCACCCCCTCCCCCAGGAGGGATGGCCTTGCCACAATCCCTTCTCCTCTACTCTCCTCTCGGGATCTTGGGCATGCATGCACGCACACGCACCCGGCATGAGTTTAAGTCACCAGGTCCAGGACTTGAACCACAGTCGACTACATGGGAGTTCAGCGACAAAGCCATTACACTAACTGTTGGTCCCTGTCACACAGTATATTCTTAGACCCATCTATAAGAGTGGGTGACTCCCATGCCCCCTCACCAGGGGCCTGGCCAGCAAGGCTAAGAGACCACTCATCTGGTCAGCTCGAGTCACACCCTGCCTGGCTTCCAGAGCACCTTTAGGCACCCAGCAGGGCAGCAGCTTGGCTCACCATCAGGTAGCCCCGGAACTGATTGTAGATGATGGCTGTCAGGAGGTTCATCAGGAACAAGCTCCCTGCAAAGGAAAAACCATGGGCAGGAGGCTTCCATGGGCAGAGGACCTCCATGGGTAGGGGGCCTCCAAGGGCAGGATCCCCCACAGGTAAGGGGCCTCCATGGGCAGGGGCAACAACAAAACTAACCCTGAGTATGGCCCAGAGCTAGGGGTGGCACTCAGGGGCCCAGAGGGTTGGCACAGCAAGCATGAGATGTGGGCTAGGAGTGCCAGGACATGTGACTCATGAAGCGCTCCTGCCAGGCAGCCTCCATGTCTTGTCCTCGGTCATGGCAGGGACACATCATCCATCGATGACCACAGACCACATGCCAAGGTGGGAGGGAACTGATGGAGTCCAGGGTGGGGGCAGGCACACTCTGCCAGTCCTGGCCATGCCCCACATCTGAGATTGGGGATCTGGCTACGGAGTGAAGAACCCTGGCCCAGGGACCCACAGGGACCAGGCTGCGCTCACCTATCACAGTGAAGACTATGAAGAAGATGGCGTAGGCCCGGTTCTTGGAATACGCAGGAATCATCACTGAAGAGAGGAAAGCAGAGGGACTGAACACGCGCTCACGGGCTCAGCACCTCACTGACGCACCACGTCCTGACCCAGCATGACCCACGGCAGCACGCGCATCCCCAACAGAAAAGACGGCTGTGGCAAGAGAACTGTTTAAAATCCGATCTTTACAACTCTGCTTACGCAGCCTCTACGACAGAGAACTTTCTACCTGACAAGGACACCCATCTCCTAGGCTGAGGTGAAATCCGCCTTCCTGCAGCGACCCACACAGCTCAGCTCTCCCTGGGTGTGGAAGCTCCCAGGCTGCCTCCCAGGAAGGCCTCTGTGGCCTGTGGCCAGTGACCACTCCGAAGCCCAGTATGAAAGGCATCAGCAAGATGGCCAGACCACAAGCAAGCCCCGAAGGACTATGGCCCCCCATCCTGGCCACACCCCACACCTGATAAGCCAGGGGACCCATGGGCACCCCACACAGTACACATCATGGCCATTAAGATCCCGGTGTCTCACACAATGATGCCAAGCAACACCCATAGCTGGGCCCTGGGCAGCATGGGGAAAGTGCAGGCAGGCCACCAGAGACTCCACCAACCAGTCCCACTTGTCGCCACATAAAAAACACTGTCCATTCTTAGCTTCTCAGAGTAGGAGACATGGAGAAAAAGAAACAAAGAAAGGAAGGTGCGAGAAAAGCAAAAGAGCAAAATCAAAAGAAAGGGGAAAAAATAAGAAAGAGGAAGGAAAAGAGAAAAAGGGGAAAGGAAAAAAATGAAATAAAGAGAAAAGAAGAGTCAGCCCGTGGCTTGATGGTCAAGGCAGCTGGACCCACATGGCTGACTGCACGGTTCAAGTGTCGGACCTGGCAGCTTGAAAGGCACGCCAGGCACATGTGCGTATATGCGTGCATGCCCAAAATCTCAGGAAGAAAGCGGAGGAGAAGGGACTGCAGTGTGACCACTACCCCCTCCCGGAGTGTGCTATCTCTCTCACCCCCGCAACAAGTACACACTCCCTATGCAAACTAAAAACAGAGAGAGAGAAAAGGGAAGAAGAGAGAATCCATGTCACCTCTTTTCCCCAAACCCCCCCATACCAGAATTGCTGCACCCTCCCACCCAGCCCACCCCCAAGAGCTCCACCCTCGCTCTTCACACACCGTCGGGATTGTTGGCAGTGGTCAGCAGCACCAGCAGAGAAGTCAGAGCTTCTGGCAGGTTCCGGAAGTATGTCAGCCTCTCCTTGTCCTGCCCATTGTCCTGTTGAAAGCAGATGTGGCAGCTCTGGGGAGCCGTCTGGGTCTCACTTCATGGACTAAGGCCTGAAGGTGACAAAGCTCCAGGACCCAACAGTCAGGACAGTTCACTCAGCTGTCCTGCCTGCATCTCCCCCTACTTTCCCAGCAGGCTGTGAGCTCAGGTCAGACAGGACCAATCTCTGGATGTGTGGGCACAAGAGCAGGCATCCGAGAGACCACACCCCACACAGGCGCTGGCTATGGAAGCAGACATGCTCAGAGACATGGTGAGAAGTCCTCGGCAGCCTCCTGGGCAGTCATAGTTCATGAAAGGATGAACCAGGGAGCATGGAGGAGGCAGGAAGCAGAAATGGGGAGTGGGATGAAGAGACAGACACAGTGCTCTACCTCTGCACAGACAGATGACCTGGGCAGAGGTAGAGCACTGTGGGTCTTTGAAGACAGACACCTGGACCAAGGTGAGATACCACTGACTTCCTGGCTACTTGTCTTGGCAGACAGCCCAACCCAGTCATCAATCTGTCAGCCTAAGAACTATTGACAGGCAGAGTCTCACAGAGTCAGCGAGGGTGGAAACTGCAAGGCCGCGGGTGCTCACCTTCTCGCCAGTAAACAGCAGCATCCCAAACATGGTGAAGAGGCACAGGTGGATCGTCAGCAGCAGCCCAACACTGGGGGAGAGGTGGCACTCAGGACTGGACATGCACTGCCCACAGCCCACGACCCAGTGGCAGGGGCAAGCCAGGGACAGCTGACCGCCGCCTGGATTGGTAACAGGAGCATTCAAAGAGCCTGGTCCCTTCCTCTCCCCAAGAATCTTTTTCATGCTGAGCCCATGAATCCAGAAGGCAAATCTGGTCCTGTCCCAGCAGAGTCCTCTGTCATTGTCAGGACAAATGCAAGCCCAGGGACTTGGGGAATGACCCAGGGGCCCAAGAGTTCAGGACACTCACCAGCAGGGAAAGAATGTTTCCATCCTCCCGAGCTGGATGGCTCAGGGGGGTGGCCAGGTAAGGTAACAGGGGAGGGACCTGAGGCAGAGGGGAAGACCTGGTGACATTCCTACTGGTAGGAGCCAAGAGCAGCAGGGGTCAGGGGAGAGTTGGGGCTGGGCCCAGAGAACCCTGAATGTTGGTGACAGGACCACTAGGGCTCCCAAGTAGAGATGACATCAGGGCCAACTTAGCTTTATAAAATCTAAGCTAGTGCATGGAAATGCCAACATGGGGGTGGAAAGAGACAGCAGGAGGGAGGAGAGTGGTCATGGAGGGCAGAGGGGAGCATCTATAGAACTCAGCAGCCTTTGTCCTGGTTGGAGTGGGAGCAGGTCTGCAGCAAGACCTCTAAAGGGGCCAGTGGAATCACAGAGACCCCAGAGTGCCGGCCTCTGTCACCAGACAAGCCCCAGGCCAAGGGAGGGAGCCAGGCTGTAAGCACCCAACAGGCCTCACAGGCCACATCTCAGGTTTGAGCACTCAGCTACTGATGGCATCCCCTTGGGTCCCGCCCACCAACCACAGAGCCCAAAGCAGAAAGAACCGGGCCCCACCCTTGCAAACCCTGGGCACCAAATGCCCACCTGGCCATGTCTGGCAGCGACCACCTAAGGCATTTCAAGGTCTTCTTCATCATTGAGGAGTTCTGCAGCAGGAAGAAGGGGCGGAGGAGCCTGCGTATCCGCAGGGGCTGGAAGAGACCAGGAATGGCATCTGTGTTCTCAAGTGCCACTCCACACCTTAGATCACAGGTAGGACAAGTCCCAGAGACCCCAGCATATGGGGGCTGCACCAGGAGCACTAGGCTCATCCCGGAGGGCTTGGGGTGCAAAGCTGGCTTGAGGCCAGGCCATGCTCCTATCCCAGCCCATCCTCCCCTCCTGGCACTGAGACCACTGCGAGAACTCCCTGCTAATCTCCATGAGTGCCTTTCTGTCCTGCCTCATACTCTCAAATCAGACTCAGCTGCCTCTTGGGGCTTCTAGTGCCCGCAAACAACTGCTCCACTGCCTGACCCCCACATGCCCACTCCTCTCCTCTTCCTGGCCTCATACCCTTCATTCATTTTCATCCACCCTCATGACTTCAAGTCCTTCACTAATGCCTTGGACTCCTGTGTTCAATCTCAAAACTCTCAAGCCCAGTCTTACATCTGACTCGACGTTTTATACCTTAGAATACAGAGCTGTCAGTTCTCCGAACAAAACCAAAATCCTCCAGTGGCTGCCCACAGCTCTGACTATAACCAACAGATCCACATTGCCAGGCCCACCAGGGACTCCAGCCCCACCCGGGCCCACTGCCCCCCACGCTCAGCTTGCCAGTCAGCTCAGCGGGCTGCTTGACCCTGGTCTTCTGGCTAGGACAACATCACCTCCTCTAGCACTGCTTTAAATTCTTTTCCATCATGGCACCCACTGCACTTTGGAGTTACAGTCTGTGCCTGGTGTTTCTTACATGCTGGTAACCTCTCACTCCAGAGCATGACATCCCACAGGACAAGGGGCCCTGACCACAGAGGTACGTACGCCAGCCCCCACACAGAGCAAGCCCTTCACAATGCCTGACCAGTCCCAAGGCCTACTGGGCCTCCCTGGGCTACACTCCTGGGCCTCAGGAGTCCTAGAGTCTGGCAGGTGACTGAGAAGAATTTCAGATTTCTATTTTTTTTTTTTTAATTTGGAGTTTTTGCACATAATGAGACATATTCAGCATGGGGCCCAAGTCTAAATACAAGATTCATTTATGTTTCACATAAACTTCATTTTTTAAAAAAAGTATTCATTTAAATTTATTTATTTTTTTAATTTGCTGCTATAAGGCACGTGCGCTCACCAGAGAGAAAGAGAAATAGAGAAAAGCCGCCAGATTCAGGACTCAAACTGTAGTTAGCTATGTGGGAGTCCAGTGCCTTAATTATCAATATACCTCACTTTGCACAATTTTTATATTGTAGTATCTTGACTATGACCCATCATAAGAAGTCAGGGTGGAATTTTTCAACTTGTGGTGTCACATCAGCACTCAAAAATTAGATTCTGGGGATCAGCAGTTGGCATAATGGCTATGTCACTGGATTCCCATATAGTCGACTGCAGTTCAAGTCCCGGATCCAGTGGCTTAAACTCACGCCAGACGCATGTGCATGCATGCCCAAGATCCCAAGAGGAGAATGGAGGAGAAGGGATGGTGGCGTGGCCATCCCCCCAGGGGGTGATTTCTCGCTTTCTGTCTCTCTGTCTCCCTGGTGAGCACACATGCCCTATAGCAAAAACATCTCAAAAAAAAAAATTAGATTATGAGGCATTTTCAAGTTCAGATTTTTTTATTACAGATACTCAACCTACACCATGACCGTCACTCAGAAATGGTTGGCTGCAGGGCTGTTCCTGCCCACCTTCCTGGGGAGGATACCAGAGCTCTTCCTTTGTAGAAGGAAGGGCTACAACTCTGAGGGAAAAGGCAGGAAGCTGTTGAGTTCTCACATGGAAACGAAGGCATGCCTGGTTGCTGAGCGGGTACATGCTGTTCCCAGCACGGCCAAGCTGCTGGGGCACGGACACCCCCAGAAACCTCTTTGTAGCTCCCCTTCAGCAGATACTCCCTGTTAGGTCCAGCCTGCCAATCTGGGTTCTGGAGGAGGCTGTGAGGCAGGAGTTGGTGAGACCGTTCCTTTCCCCTCACTGACTAGCACCCATCCACCGGCAGTGCTCCTCCCAGAGGTCAGAGGACAGAGCCCCAGCTCTGCGGGTCCCTCCCTTGAGTTTCCAGGCATAGATAACCCCAACTTCCTCCCTTTGTTGCCCTAGATGGGGTAGGGCCCCTTCCTGTTGTTCTCTGTATTCCACTTTTTTGACTATCGGTTAAGTCCCTGTACACATACTCCCACTTACTAAAGGAATACGTCCCCTCAAACCCATCACAGTTCCTAAACTGCAAACGCACTTAACTACACCTAACCTACCGAACACCACCATTTAGCCTAGACTACATCCATCATACTCTATACCCATATTATAAATAAACATTAAATATCTCATGTAATACATGGAATATTGTAATGAAAGTGGACAATTTAATGGTTGTGTGGATACTCCAAGTATGGTGTCTACTGAATGTATATCACTTTCACGCCATGGTAAAATTGAAAAAGCATAATCTGGACCAGCCCCATGGCCTCACAGTTAAGAGAGTCAGATCCACATGGCCAACTGCACTTCCAATCCAGCGCTAGCAGCTTAAAACATACCAGCTGTTGGGACCAGCAGTTAGTGTAATGGCTATGTTGCTGGACTGCCACGTAGTCGACCGCGGTTCGAGTCCCAGACCCAGGGGCTTAAACTCACGCCGGGCACATGTGTGTGCGTGCCCAAGATCCCGAGAGGAGAATGGAGGAGAAGGGATTGCAGCGTGGCCATCCCCCCTGGGCGGTGATTTCTCACTTTCTATCTCTCTATCTCTCTCTGTCTGTCTGGCGAGCACACGCGCCCTAGAGCAAAAACCTCTCCAAAAATAAAAAAAAAATTTTAAAAATTAAAAACACCAGCTGCATGTATATACAGGCAAGCCCAAAATCTTGACAAGATGAGTAAATAGAAAAGGGATTGCAGTATGACCATGCCCTACTGGAGGGTGTTTTTTCCCTCTCCCTCTCTCCCTCTATCTATCTTTAGGACAAGCACCCAGGTCTTCTGGTAATTAAACAAAAAAAGGAAAAAGAAAAATCATGATCCCTCTTAAGTGGGGGACTGTCTACATTCAGTTCTCTCTACCACAGCATCTGATGGGTTTCTGCTTCTTGGACAAACTCTGATTGACTGGGCTGACCCCAAGCAGACCTTTCACAGCTCTATTCTACCAAACCACAGGGAGGTGTTTCAGCATGTTCTAAGGAAAACAGAGCTGCTGTGGTCAGAGAGGTTAGAGGGTGGCCAAGTATATGGGTTTTCTTATTGTCAGGCCTCAAAGAGCTTTGGAGATATGACTATTGGGCACGGTGAGGCCCTGAGGCGGCACTTTCATGGGAAATCGAGGCAGTAGAGGAATTCAGCTAAAAAGTGGAGAGCCAGGAATTAGGAGTCCTGAAACTTACATCCAGTTCCTCCACTCACCTACAGAACAACCCAAGCAAAACCCAAGCAAAACCATGTGCTCTTTTAGGCCTTCGTGTCTCCATCAGCAAGATGGGCACAAGGCTCCTTAGCCAATGGGTGATGGAAGTGCACAAAGAGTTGGACAGTGCTGGGCAGGGAAATGGGATGGTTCTAGGCTTAAGACTTACACACCTGCCACCCCATCACTCACCCAGGCAGCTGCACTAAGCACTTACAACTCCACAGAGTTCCCTGCCCCATCTCGGAGATGCTTATGCACCTACCTCCCGACAGACAAGACTCAGGGACACAGTCCAGTCCATCAGAGACACGACCAGCACCACGAGGTAGGCCAGCAGCCAGAGGTTCTTCAAGATCTCTGCCCACCCAACCAGATAACCCTGCAAAACAGATGAGTGAGCCAGTGAGCAGTCACACAGACAGACACTGGCCCTGCAGCCAGCCAGATGGCATCAGTGCACATGAGCAAGGATCAGGGCGGCCAAGACAGAAGAGCTTCACCAAGCATGGACTTCACCTAACACTGCAGGAGAGCAGGTAGCAGAGCAGCGGTTGGAAAGCCAGGCCCATGAGGAACTCAGGCTATGTAACACTTCACCTCTCTGGCCTCAGTTTCCTCATCGGTTCCCAAGTTCCTGCCTACATGACTAACCAGCTTGTGTTGCTAAAATGAGAAGGCGTGGGAATGCATTCTGGAAAAGACATAGTATAAGCCTTCAATGGACACGCTTCGGCCACTACAGCGAGGCAGTGTGTGAGGGTAGGGCTGTATCTGTTCTTCCCTCATCTAACTGCCATCTCCCACCATCAAGAAGACCCCCAGAGGTGAAGGCTTGCAGATAAACAGTTGTCTGCTTTCACCTTTCAAGACTTTTCAATGCGCCATCCATTCAAAAATCATTCATGGTAACTTCTCACCAGTTTCAGTTCCCGTTTAAAAAACCCCAGACCTCCTAACCACATTATGAGCCAAGAAAGAAGAAATAAGAAATGGCTGAGGCCTGCAGCCACACACACAGCAAGGTCCAGCCACACCCCTTACAGTCAGCACGCAATCCGTCCCTCCCACACAGGACTGCGGGGCAAAGCAGGCACCCAGCAAAGGCACATGACTGGGAGGCCATGTGAGCCCAGTGCCAGGCCCAGGAACACCAAGGCTGACCCTGCAGGAAGGTTGCAGCCTGGAGCAACACCTCACACTGGGAAAGGACTCTAGGGTAGAATCACTACTTGATGAGAACAACAGAATATGTGGCCCACAGCAAGACTGACCCCTCCGTGCCTCACTGGAAAATCACTAAGGCTCCCCAGGTTCTGCCAAGGCTCAGAAGCTCTGCCTGGAGTTGGCAGGGAGCGCCCCAGGCACCAGGACTCAGGCACGACCCAGTACCCACCTCACCTTCACAGAGACGTCAGCCACGAAGAGAAGCAGGCAGAGCCCCTCGATGCTCTCGGTCAGGCCGCAGGGAGGCTCCCAGGGAGGGGAGCGGTAGCGCACATCTGCAGTTCTAGTGAGCGAGGAAGGGGTCTCAATAAAAGCCAAAGCCAAGATCAGGAAGATGGCAAAGCCCAAAGTCCTAGAACGAAGACAAAAACTGGTTAAAATGCAGGAGCCAACCTCCTCTAGGACAAAGACTGGGCAGCAGGCAGGATGCCTGGAAGGGGAAGAGACGGATCCCACAGCCCAGAGGGTAGAAGCTGGCATTTCCCAGCTGTGGTCACTTGCGCCTGGTTAAAAACACTAAGATGGTCAAAACTCAATACCTTTGGCTGACCCAAAAGTTCTGGACAGGAACCCCTTATCACCAAAGGAGCCCTCTGTCTAAAAGCTAGACTCTCCAGCAAGGAGGGAAAGTATCAGCCCCCTCCCCTCTGTAGGGGTCTTGAAATTAGGTGTGATCCCAGCACAGTGAGGCCAGATCCCCACCAAGCGAGTCTGTGTAAACTCAAGTTCTACAGGGTGCATTCTCACCGTTGGCATATGTTGGAGTAATACCATCGGTAAAGCCACATCGAGCGGGCATCCATACGGTGGTTGATAGAACGATACTGCAAGCAAAGGTCACACAAGTGGCATGAGCAGCTGGGGGGACTGTTCCCCCTGACCTGTGCCCCCACGATGCACACAGCCACACAGCTTACCTTTCACACCCCAAAACAGGCAGGCTTTGTTTCAGCATGTGAACCAGGTGCCCCTCCACCCAACCCAGCAAGCTCAAACCTTGATAAGCTACGGAGACCAACAGCTCAAGAGCTGGACAACTGGGCAGGCAGGTGCACTGAGCAGACACTCGGAAAACGTCTGCTGAAAGGGCCAGCTGCGCCCTTGGTCCCGTAAGGCACTCTCTCCTGATCTGTGCAAAGTCAGCCCTCCCAGGCCAATGCAACTGTGTCATCCTCCAGGATGCCTGCCCACACCTGGGACCTAGAACAAGGCAGCCCACCACAGGACTCGGTATGAGGAAAACCAGAAAAGCCAATTCAGGATCAGAGGAAGATGGCTCCTTTATGAGTATTTGAGAAGAGCCATGCCCCACAGTCCAGCAACTGAGCTTTGGCCCCAGGACAGTGAGGAAGGAGGGTTAAGGCAGGCTCTCGGCCAGCGATGATCATCCAGTCCCCACACAGCTCCAAGATGAGCCCAGACCAAGCTGGGAGCAGGCAACACCCACTTGGATCGCATCTTCAATGAAGACCACAGCCTGGTCGATGCAGAGGTCCTGCCTGGCCACAGCACCTGAGGGCAGAGAGAACACATTGAGTGGCTAAGCAGGTCACAGGGCCTCACCCCTACAGGACAATGATCACTAAGGAAAGAAGCAGCTATGGTTCTCTCCCAAGTTGTGGTATGATGAGATGCCTCCCACCCTGCCCAGAAGACAGGGCTCCCACTCAGCAGCACTGTGTCCACCCAGGGCAGAATCCCAACCAGAGAAGGGCACCAGGCCCAGAGAAGTAGCTCTGAGCCACACAGCTGCCGCTGCTCAGGGGACAGGGTGAACAGGACACAGGACCTCCAGCCATGTTCTTCAGAGCCCTGACACCAGACTCAGAGTTTAGTCCAGCTCCCCCAAATGCTGGTACAGACTGCAGGACGGCTCTTCTGTCAAATGGGTTTTAGTGGCCACCCCACTCAACTTCTAGGAGCAAACTGTGAGGTGCAATGTGGAGTGTAGGGACACAGAGCCCCCTGCTAGGGCTGGGAAACCGTGTGCGGCCAGCAAACAGGAGGCTGTCAGTACTCTTCAGCCCAGCTCCTCCACCAGCCTCCTGTGCGGCCTTTGTCGGGATGCTGCACCCCACTGTCTTCGAATGCAAGATCAGTAACACTTCCTGCTTACCTCCCATCAAATAAGACCATGATTTAACACTGACACATGAAACTGACATTTATATTACAGGTGCCACCAGAATGCCTCATTAAAACACAGACACTCTTCGACTTACATTGGAGTTATTTCCCAATAAACCCACTGCAAAACTGAAAAAGTGTAAGTCTAACTATCCTAAGCTGGAAGAATCTGTACCAAGAACTACCACGGTCCATCCTGTCACTGTCATGACTCAGAGAGTCAGGCTACTGTGACCCCACCAAATCACCCCTGGGTTTGGAGCCGAGGGAGTGCCCAAGGCACCCACTCCTCTGCCAGTGCTGTCCTTGACAAAGGGTGGTCATCACCAACTGTAGCCAGGCAGGGTGGAGCCTCCCAGTGGGCCTGGATAAGGGTGGTGGTTGTCTCCTAACAATGAGAGGCTTTCAGGAAAGGCTGGCACAAAAGCCACATCCCAGTACCCCAGCCTGCTCAAAAGCTCCTCATCCACGAGGGAGCAATGAACGAGCATGGCCAGTTGGTCACTGTGGGCTTGGGCTTACCACCTGCATCATGGGCATGTGCCATCTCACTAGCTTTTACTGCAGAAGCTGCTATTCGGCAAAGAAAGAAAAAAAAGCATGAGAGGCCGAAGCTCACAGTGACAGAGAACTCTAGAGGCTGAAGTCCACACTTCCCACGGCCAGGAGAGAGGGCATAGCTGGGGCCCTGGGAGACCAAGGTCTGTGAGCCCGCAGGTAGCTCACAGATCAGGGCTTGGAAATGAGGTCCTATTTCAATTCCACTTTTACATCTGGCCCCTTGGGGCCCACAGCTGTACCCAGACAATGCAGTGACGTGCGCATAGGGCAGGCAGCGTACTAGACCCTGGGCAGAGCTCTGGGCCTCTGCCACCCACTCTGCCCACCATCCCTGGGGAGGCAGCAGATCCTGTCCTCAGGGTTTGTGTGAACCACTCGTGGGAGACCCCATCCTGGCTCTGCCACAGCCTTGCTGTGTCACCTAGAGAAAATGCCCTCCTCCATCTAGGTCTTCGTTTCCCCATGTGCATGACCACAAGGCTCACCTTGAGAACCCCAAAATGCTGGGAACCAGCAGTTAGCGTAATGGCTCTGTCGCTGGACTCCCACATAGTCGACCGCGGTTCGCGTCCCGGACCCGGTGGCTTAAAACTCATGCCGGGCGCATGTGCGTGTGTGCCCAAGTTCCTGAGAGGAGAATGGAGGAGAAGGGATTGCGGCATGACCATCCCCTCTGGGGGGTGATTTCTCGCTTTCTGTCTCTATGTCTCTCTCTGTCTGTCTGGCGAGCGCACTCGCCCTATAGCAAAAAAAAAAAAAAAAAAAGAGAAAACCCCAAAATGTTCAAAGGGGCAAAAAAAAATTTAAA